AACCACACTTTTCTCTTATTACATTTTCAACTAATATAAAATAATAATGATAAATAAAATTTAAAAGTAATAATCAGAATACTAAAATGAACTTTTAACACAAAATCTATGTACGGGGACTTCCCGAAATTGCTCGCACCACGTCCTCTGGGACCTATACCTATAACCTTATTAGGTTTTTAACTTCGCGGTATGGTTAAAGCATATTGCACTGATGATCTTAAAATAGAGTTCATTATTGTCTGGTAAGTGTACGGGGGAGATCCCTAAAGATTGATGGCCGACTAAAGATTTGATCCCTAAAGTATATATAGTGTTGTTCATTCATAGAATTACATTCACTAATTACTAGCCTTCTTCTGTTTTGTTGAGAACTGTTGTGCTTTATGTCCAAATTTGTTAGGTAGCATTAGTTATCAAAAAATTAATTTAGAATTGCATTTGCTTCTAAATACGAAAGAAATTAAATCACTCAGTGAAGAAACAGAAGGATTTTGGAGAAGCGTGAGTAGCAAAAATATATAATTATAAAATTTTAGTTTAAATTATAAAGACATTATTTTGATCGCAAAAAAAAATGAAACAAAAAAGAACGACATCTAAAAGAACGTTTTATGATACATTTCTAAACCCATGGATGTAAATAAAAATCTCCCGATTTCTCCAGATTTTTAGCTGGCAAATCTAGCGATTTTATATTTTTCACTTTTGCAACACTACAGAAGCGCAAGACCTTCCTTATGTATGCTGTGCTCGCCGCCCAGTGGCCGGTGACGCCTCGTCCAGGCGCCCTCCTCCAACCGCGATGCAGTCAGGTGCCCACACGAACACCCTCGCCTGGCAGCAGCAGCGGTGGATGCTTCTTCTTCTTTCTTGCACCCTTGCCTGGTAGCAGTGAGCACTTCCGCCTGGTAACAGAAAACACCAAACGCCTTTGAGCACTACAGGAAATAAAAACACAATCCCCGTAGAGGAAATGCCGAGCCTTATTACCCGACAGGAAATGCCGGACACGGTCATCCGACAGGAAAATGCCGACTATGGTCGTCCAGCGGAATATGCCGAGCACGCTTGCCCAACAGGAAAAATGCCAAGCCCTGCTTGGCTATGATGAGCGCCTTCAAAAGGCACCTGCGCCTGGCTGCGATACGTGCCCCATGCGAGCACATGCCCCTAGCCGCAATCCCGGTTTTCTTTCTTCCGGTAGCTACCAGTATTCCAGGTCCTGTCCTGCCTAAGCCCTGATGGGCCTACTGCGCTGGCCTGGTCTTCTTGCCTTTGGTCCTGTTGCCTCAGCTGAAACCTCCGGCTTCCTTTGGTCGCTGATCTTCACTCGGCTCCGAAGGTCCACTTGAATGGTCTTCAGTAGCTCACAGCTGGTTCCTTAATCCGGCTCGAAGGACCAAATGAAACGGAACCTTCGCTTAAAAAAGGAACACGGTTGCGTTCAACAGCGAATTCCTTAACCTCTTATGACACCTACGTTGGGTTCGGGGGCAACGAGGCGTATGTGAACCTCGTGAAGGAGTATCACACGAGGGTGTCAGCAGCTTCCGTTTCAGCAAATAGGTTCAGGCAGGGATTACGGGTCTTCCGAGGTCGTCCCGGTCCCAGCGCCTTAGTTCTTCGATATGTGCTGCGTTAGCGACACCAGATGGACTATATTTATATTTAAAGGTTAAGGATCCCTTGGGAATAAAACAGCAATTATCTTCAAGCCGCTCCGTGAGAGAGTAATTACTTTCCCTATCACTTCCCTATACGTTTTTCTTTCTTGATTTTATATTATACTGGTAGCTGGTCCCGAACGATTTGTATGAAAACCAGTCTAATGGGGTATCAATAAAGCTATACTTGAAAGAGAGCCGCGCCCTCTGTACGATTTCACAACTCAGTTACATCAAATTTATACTATCACTCCTCACGGTTTGCCCAATATCTTTATTTGCATACGACATACATTTATACATTTTATTTATAAAGATAGCACAAAAAAATATCTATACTATGATATACATTACATTATTATATCACAAAAAACCTTTTATTTATTCAACAAAATATGCCTATTTTACATCATATGTACTAAGTTAGAATTCTTAAATATCTAACATATAAGGTTGGCACAATGTTCTTTATTTGAAAATACAAATATCTTAACTAATACAATAGTTTAATTTACATTTTTTTTACACATTTTACTATAAAAAACACTTTTAAATTTCTTATACAAAACTATCAATATTTCACTATGATAAGAGAATTTATACATAGAAATAACACAAAATTCACATATTTTGCTCATACAGTCAACTTGAAACATTTTATAAGTCAATTTTACATAAATTGCTGAAATTTACAAACATTTAAATTTCCACTTATTTAAACTTTTAATTCTACAGATTAGCGCACTACTTTTATCTGCGGCTAAGTGAACAACTAATCTTTACACGACCCCCCCCCCCCCCCCCCAATTTTCGGTAAAGCAGGGTGCAAATTTACTGCTATCCACTAACACAAGATGAGCAATCAATCCCTGCACGGCCCCCATTGTCGGCAAGGTAGTATCCAATAAGATCTCTTATCAGTTATCAAAGTTCTTATCAGTTATCATGTTCTTATCAGATAACACAAAGAAAATATTTCATGAATCAAATATTGAAAATAGACATTTTATTTTTCATACAAAATGTATTCAACTTACATAAGACAATATTATGTAACATTTTACATTAATTCCACTCATACGCAATGTGATCATTTCGACCGGGGAACAAATCCTGGTCTCTAACTTTATTTTAATATTTCTTTAAATTAACAATATCATTAGAAAAGGTGATTTCGACCAGGAACTGAACCCGGAAACATGATTCACATCTTAAAATTCCCTATATGAATTTATTAAAAAAATATTACTAAGAAAACGACAAACTAGTCCGGCCTGGAAATCGAACCCAAGACCTTCAAATTATTAATTCGATATTTCTTTAAGGTTTAACTAAGCGTTTTCTTATAAGATTATTACGGCTTGATAATTTGATTTTAGAAGCTATCCGTAATCGGTTAACTAACAAATCGAAATACTTTTTATAGACGCGTCGCCAACACAAGCTAAGCAAAAAAATCAAAGAACGTATTAGAAAAGTTAGAAAAACTAAAAGGATCCAAATCCCAGAAAACATATTTTAACAACAAGAGGAACCAGAAAAGCTCTTAAAGTACTTCGTGAATCAAATCCTGAAAAATAACCACAACAAAATCACTAATCAAAAAGATATAAATAAAATAGCTTCAAAATACTATCGAAACCTTTATTCGAGCAGAGATACTGTAACTTCTCTTTATTGTTATATTTCTGTTATCAGAAAGATTCTGACGATCTTCTGCTTCAATTTCCATCTGTCGCCTCATACGACACCCACGGGAAGATATGGGGTAGAAGATGTTCTTACCCCGCCACTACACGGGTGTCACCATTAGTGCAAATTAATTCGACACGCAAGCTCAATAATTTCCACTTCAGCATTAAGCTCTGAACCTGAAACCTTACAAAGTAAAGCTAGACTAGCAATACTTAGCCAAAAGTCTGACAAATTCCCAGGCCCTCATAAAATCACAAATGAGTTACTAAAAGGGACCCTGGAATGGAAGAAAACGTAATCATCTCAGATTTGCAGATGACATTGTCTTATTTAAACATACGCTAGGGAAAATGATTGAAGATCTAAACAAACACAATGAGAAAATCGGATTATTAATGAACGTAAACAAGACTAAGCTATTAACAAACTGGGAAAACCGAGAGATCTATATTAACAACCATACTCTCGAGTACGTAGAAGTGTATATTTACCTAAGATAAATCATCTCACACAAAGACCAATTGATAAATGGATACTTAGTTAGGTTCATAACAATCATTACAAGTACAAATAATGTAGAAATGGCTCCTTTTGATAAAATTGTTTTTATTCTATGTTTTCTTCTATACTTCTCGAGTAAATGTTTGCTGCAAATTGTTGAGTTTGTCTTTGGATTCCAACCAACCCGTCCAATTAACCTTAACCATTTTTGTAATCATAGAATCCTGAGGGAATCTGTTTGACAAACGGCAAAATAAAATTACATTCCTAGAACAAACCGAGGATTTACTTTCTTGTTGTGTGGGCAAGCCTATCGATTCAATATAAACATTCAAGATAATTATCGACATTAATTTTGATATAGTCAATCCCTAGCGTACATGTAAAATATTTTGTTTAAAAATAGAATTCATCAAAATCATACAAATTGTCAACAACGTGACTTTTTCTTTACAAAATATCAAAGTTAACAAAATAATTGAAAACATTCTATATTTTAAAATGCATATAACATAAATTTTAACGAGAAATAAAGGCGTCATAACATTGACCACGTCTTGAGAATTTACCTGTGAAATGTGGAACTATCAAAATTATTTCTGTTATTGACACATGTAACCATTTTGTTACTATTAATTATAAACATTAACACTATTATAATCTAAAAATTACAAAATATGTAGGAGCTAATTTCTTGCGTGCCGACTTGTGCCGATCTGTCATTCAAAATCGGTTACAGAGTCATGAGATTTGGTATCCTTTTCTATCTTGCATTTTTGCCGTAAGAAATGTTCTTCTCCCTTGCACACTATGTCGGTCTCTACGCCAGAATATTCTAAGTCTATGGTCTATGCTACGTCCAGCTTCTAGCACCGCGATCTTGAGCGGACGTAGAACTGGGGAAACACAAAGTATAAATAAACCATCTAAGAAACACTCTGACTCTGACTGGGATGGATCACGAATAACAATTAAAAAGTAATCCGTGCATGAATAAGGCGCTTTCAGAAAGCCAGTTAAAAAAAAGTTCAAAATTTCACAGACTGTATTACGCATGGCGCTTTAAATAATCACAGAGTAACTTTAAAATCTTGGAAAAAATTATCTATGATGCATAGATGAGAGTGTTATTTTTGGTTTCTTAGATTTTAAAATTTTAAATTGAATTGTCCTGTGGAATTGTCCCTATTTATTTTAAGATTTACCTCTACGATATTATTACTATTTATCATCTCAGTTATTTTTCCAATTAAAATAAAGGTAAGTTATTTTTTATGTACCGCAATGAAGTATATCTCTAATTATTTACTATAAATTTGAGTTATGTCACACGGATTTTCTTTTATTAACAAGTAGTAGGTACCTTGTTCTTTTTATTATATCAATTATAATAGTTAAGAATCTTTTGCATAATAATTTTACAATTTTTTAAGTGTTCCTGTTTTTAACTTGATATATTTAGTTATATGGCACTTATGAAAATAAACTACTGTACTGCTCGCCGTTTTTAACACTTTTGTTAACTCGTTCATTCTTCTTGTTTATGTATTTATTTTTCTCCCAGCTTGTATTATTGTTGTATTATATAGGCTATTCATGAACTAGACCACTTGTCTCTTATTAATAAATGCCAATAATGTGTGTCGTTTTGCTTAACTTGTGTGTGGATCAGAATATTAATCAAAGAGATCATTTTTAAGTGGGTGGTGAGATTATTATCATACATTACAGCATATAAAAGTCAACATAGGCCTCAACCTTAGATTGCCTCATAGGGAGGGATTTTGCCACAGTTGCCATGCTTGCCTGGGGGCTTGGTAGATGCTGCTCATCCCCTGTTTCAGTTTCCATCTGTGGCCTCTTACAACATCCATGAAACAATATGGGGTAGTGGATAATTCTTGCACTGCCACTATATGATAAGAAATTATAGCACATTAATTAGAAATTATACCAACAGTATCATAATTACCCTGAGAGTGAAAAATTCACTATTTATTCACTGATGCATAATAAACTTGTACATGGAAGTCAAACTAATAATGACAGCTCTGCTCTTAAATTATATAATATCACTGTCTTTTGTAAGATATATACATATAATACCAACATTCACATTTGGCATAGTCATAACAGGTTTCTTTTGCTTGTTATACATTTACAAATGTTCACATACATGCTTGTTGGTTAAAGGTCCACTTAATTTAGCCAGTCTTCAATATTGTTCTCTAGAAATATCACTTATAGAATAAATATGCTTTGTCATTCTTTTTTCATTCCTTTTTTAAATGTTCAAAACCACCAAAGCATTCCTTTCTTAATTCTCGTGACATTTGTAAAATTGTGTAACTAAAGATGATAATAAAAATAAAAAGCTATATAAATAAAACAAATTTTATTTTTCTAATAGGATTCTGATTTCTCTTTACTATATTCGAGTACACAATATTGTTAATTTGAAATCTATTAATACCAATAAATGCTTTCATTGTCCATATGTTTCATATAAACCATGTGCATGTTCAAATGGAGGCTATTAGAGAGTAGATCAAGGCTACCTAGTTTTCATTTATGTAGTATCTTTAGTTAAGTATTAAAATGAATTTGTTCTTTATTTAACTAAATTACGTTTCCTTTTAAATATTATTGTCATTTTTGATCTATGATGGTGTTGGTGCATAAGTTAGGATATATTTTTAAGTAATATTTTTAAAAGACATAAAATTCACAATTTATAAAAATATCACATAAACATATCACCAATCCCAAAAATATTATTTCTATATTATACTTGAACCATACAGGAAAATAATAGCCATATACACTGAGCTAACAATCCGTCTAGTACATATACGGTTTACTGTTACATTTACAGACCATTAAAATCCACTGCTAAATATAGGCAGCCTCTATAGATTGCCTCATAGGAGGGATATTTGCCATAGTAAATGCCAAGCATGATGCAAATATTTGGCAAGTGGGTTGGCAACTGTAGTTATTTTTATTTTTAGTTGTTATTAGGAAGATGCTGCCGCTCAGCTCATGGGTTGTGTCCGTCTGTCACCTCTTAAGAAATACACGGGACGATATGGGGTAGAAGATATTTTTATACCAATGATTTACACATTACATAAGCATAGTTGTACTGAAGAAAACAATACTAGAAATAATTTAAATTCCATTTTGTAAATGATTTATTGTTTCTATTTTATATTATGATAAATTATGTTGTGATTTGTGGTTATGTAGAAAATTATGGGGTTGCCATATTTAGCTAGAGTTTCGTTAGGACAGTTCTCTTGGTGGTGTTAATGTACCGAATTCAACAAGTGGTAAAATTAAAAATTTTTGTACAGCCGACTTCAATATAAATTATTAAGGATAACTCATAAACTATTGGTCAGACCTTGATCAAATTTATATGGGACCACATGAGAAACCCCAGCTTTCAAATAAAAAAAGAACCATCGAATTCATCGAAAAAGTTATGAGGTAACACACATAAAAAAAAACATACAGTCGAATTGTAGAAAAGGAGAAGGTTGTTAATTGGGTTGTATATTGGTCTTTCTAATGTATGTAATGCACGGAGGTTGTTGATTCAACTGCATTTTTAATGTATGTACTTATTCGACTGTACGTCAAAAGGACGAAGACAGTTAATAACAACCTCCTGCTTAACTAAGATGTCGGTCCTAGTTCAGTGATTTAGCAGATTTTATTTTATAGTTATAGTATACTTCCACAGGAAATTAGTTTCAACCAAATCCTGTGATTATTGAAGTTTGATTTTCATACAATTTAGTTTGACAAGTTAGCACACAGACCACCTGATGGGAAGTTGCTGTTGAGGTTCATAGACAGGTAGACACCTACATCTATCGTCAACTAAGAATCAAGATCCAGATTCTTTGTCATCCCTGATCCCTGAGGTCTAAGATGGAATGCCGCGTTACCAGTAAAAAGTGACTGGTTCACTTACCATGCGAAACGAAACAACAGCATTAAACTCCTATTCAGTGCGAGCGCCACCTTTCGTGCTATTGCCATAATTAGTTGCATCGCGCTTTAGCCACGTAAAAACGTCGTTATTATTTCTGTATTACGCTAGTCGTAAAAACAAATGTTAGTTTTACATTATTATTTAAATAGTCTACAGTGAACTTGCAACAAAATCATTTATTGTGTCATGCTCACACAAACAAAGGCAAAAAAGACAAAGCGTTGCGTACATTTCAGGTGAAGCAAAAACCATGCCAAAACCATGCTCAACTTATTGTAAGTACTTGCAAACACGTACAAATATGCACCTAAATCATTTAAAACCAACAATATGGTTTTAGGAACACGTGTGTGTCCAGCAGTGAACTTTTACTGTTAAAGAAAAAAGTTTTTGCCTCACTTGAAAAGTACCTATCGCTCCGTCTGTATTTTTTTGTACTCAATTCCAAGCCTAAAGATCTTGTAAAAGTTGCTCGACACTACAAACACGCTAGTAGACGTAAAATCGCTGCGTTAGTTTTTATTTGTGACTAGTTATAAGTTTAGTCGGGACATAGGCCAAAATAACGGCGACTGTCACGCTAAATCGGTACAAATGACAACCCTACGCAACACTCACTACCATAGTGGTTCAGCCAGATTAACAACAAATGTGGGTAATAGGAATGGGTTATCAAGCATACAATTTGTGACAAATGAACTTGAATATTGGTGTCAAAATATTTTGTTTTGAAATTGGAATTTATCAATTCTTACAATTTTTCACTGATTTCTTTCAAACGTAATAGAACCACCCTGCAGATATGTTATGGTAATGTAGCATGGATGGGTCAGCTCGTCGATCGGGGAAGGGCCACATTACAGAGTAGCAGCGTGAAATCAGCTTAATGCTGCTATGTTTTATATGGTGAATGTAGAGTGTCGGAGAATCGGAGAACCTTTTTACAGGAAATGAGGCATTCTATCAGGGGTGACAACGCATTCGGTATTTTGATTCTTAATCGAGGACTTGCCATCAGGTTAACTGTATTCTGGTTTGTCGTCCTTATTCTATGAAAAAAAAGAACATAATTTTATATCTTCATGTATCGTTCTTGATACCGTGTATTAATATTATAATTTTAAAGGGGCATCCTGACATTGATATACTGTTTTTACAAAGAAGGTGCTTCCTAGGCCGTTATGTATAAGCGAAGGCTTCTCACAAATTGAATTACGAAATTGATAGTGGTAACCCGCACTTGCCATTGAACTCTCTGATAAACTTAGAGGACGTTACGACTTGGTTACGCGTCTAACATAAACACAAATAGTCAGTGTTGCTTAAACCGTTACGGAGTGTAGACGTGTGTGTGAGGCTCACATAAAATATTCAAAGGTAAATGGCTTGCATTCTATGATAAATTTGCAATTTAATGCTAATAGCAGATCGGGAGATATTAGAATTAATAATTTTCCTATTCAGTATTTACCTTATTTTGTGTTTTAGTTATATTTACAGTCATGACTTATTGTAAACGTAATGTTTTCTAAAAATATAGAATTTTTTAGAATTGTACAATATAACTCAAAGACTAACCTAGATTAGTCCTAGAGTTATATTGTATTGTTATATTTTTAAATTTCATATCTGTAGGTTGAATAGTTTTCGAATTGAAGCCGTTCTGGAATTCGGATGATTTCTATTAAAAATCGAATACTTATAGAAAATCCATTTGGAAACTGAAATTATATGTGATAGAGCCATAAATATAGTTACTATATTATAGTTGTAGCACGAATGGATCGGCTCGACCGGGGTAGGACTACGCTCTCACTGAGTAATAGCGTTAACTAGCAGCATAATGCTGCTGTGTTTCGTATGATGAGTGTAGAGAACCGCAAACCCTTTTGACTGAAAACGAGGCACTCTATCAGACATGACAATGCATCTGCATTTTGCTTCTTAATTGAGGATAAATTTAGATGTCTATGAGTCACAGTATCCACTTATAACCATTTAAATTAAATTAACCGTAATTTTGTATAGAAATAAAACAATTATAGATGTTTACACGACATGAATATTTTTAAAACCTGTTGTTGGTTTAAACCTGGAATATAAGTTTATGAGATGAGACGTCTCGTTTAAAACACAGACATCTCTTGACCCGATTGATAAACGTTTTGAGCCATGACTTCTATAGACGGTTATAAAACAGATATTATTTTATTATATCTCTAATAATCTGTGTATCTATTAATCACCTCTCGATGGT